TCTTGAACCTTTTTGGGGCCTGCTTAAAGTTTTCTTTACATCATTGAACAAGTCTCTGTGTTGTCAATCCCCGACACCCTCCGCACGTGTTCTCGGACACAGGCCGCGCAGCAGACGCGACAAAAAGTAAGAAGACTGTGGTTCGACATACCAACATCATTTGGGATTTCCTGAAACTTTTAGATAAATTTAAAATATTTCACTGTTTTAAAAGGTATGTGTCACAATTTTAATGACTCCTCTGGAGCCAGGCATCACCACTTTGGAACATTGAATTAGATACTTGTGATTTGGAGGGCTTTTCTGCTCATTAGCATCTCAGGTGTCCACGTGTTATGTGCTACCACTTCCGTTCCCACAGTCATGATGATCACACATGTGTCCAGATTCTGTCCAGTATCCCCTGGCATCAAAGTGTCCTGCCGAGAATCAGCTACAGAGCCCAACGTGTTCTGGAATACTTACATCATCATCTCGCATGTTTAACTTCATTTACGTTGAGTTATATTAGATGGTGATAGTAGTGTGATCTCAACAGAGTCAATGACATTTTATGTGAATTTACATGAAGGATGACATTGGAATAAAAACTGGGGGTTGGGGTGGACCAGTTGTGATCAAAGAGCCTCCTGTGGAAATGCGAAGGCCGGAGATGGCATGGGCGTCCACTGATCTGCAACTGTCAATAATCACAGTGGAATCCTAAGACCTAGCTGACATCTTTTTCCTCCTTGCAAAAACGTTTTTGAGTTTGGGGAAAGTATGAGTACTAACCTTACTTCTCCTGGGGGGAAAAAGTCTGACAGGTAAATTGGTGTAGAAGTAAATATGTGAGCATTTAGAGTGATTTCCATTGGAGTGTGCCATCTTACTCCAGTGGATTGCTTTTTATAATAAAGGAAAAATAAAATAAATGTAAACATGCACAAGCTTAATATTTCCCTATACTCTGATAAATGTAAATGCCAATTTAAAAAACATCCCAAGGGAGTATATGTGAAATTATTTTCTAAAAACAGACGTTTAACCATATTTTATGAATAGCAAGAACAAGGTTCAGTGTTTGACTAGACATCATGCACCATCTCTTCATTGTACAGTGTGTTTATTGTGCTTTGTTCCATCATTGCTCAATATTTCCCCCAGCTTCTGTTGATTGTCACTTACTGTGAAGACATGTTACAAAGGCCTGAGCTCATTGGCTTTCCATCTGGTCAAAGCAAGAACACTACAGCCATGGTGGCACCCTTTGAATGCTGTGACCAACATAGGAGCTTTTAAAAAGTGCAAAAGTTTGTTTTTATTATATGTTGTCATTGTATTTTGCTCATATTTACACTTTCACTTTATTTTATGGGAGTGCCGTTTAACCCACGACACAGAGTTCCAACTACCCATTTGTTCAGAATTTTTTTTGATGTTACTACTGCATCTTCTCTGTTCTGAAGAAACCTGGATGATTGGTTACCATATTGGAGCAACTACAAGTTTCTGGCAGGGTATTTATGAAAATTAACATTTAAAAACATTTGTCAAGAGTTTGAAATATAACGTTAAGGATAGTCTCTAAATCTACTGTTTAATTATTCATTTTGCTGGAGGGTCTCACTATGTAACTCAGAGTGATTTGGGATTTATAATACTCCTGAGACTACCTTCTAGGTACTGGGACTGTAGGTAAGTACCACCATGCTGTAGCTTAAATCTATTTCTAAAGAAAAACAGACTCCTAACACTCGAGTAGACATGGCATGTGGAAAGGGTATCAGTCAGACTGTATGGATTCTGAGTAATGCTGCTGTGAAGACAAGCATTTCCAAGGACAAGAGCACAGAGTGTCTCAGAGCACTGCTTGTAAGCAAGGACATATTGTCACTTTGAAAGGAAATAAAGGCCACCCTTTGTCCATAGGGAATGCTGCAGTTATTCCCCTGCAAATTTAATTCAAACAGGTACTGAGATCTGAAACATGGAGATATCTACAAATTAGAAGGATAATTTTTTTTAAGGAAAGAAAAGAAATCCAGGCCACAAAGAACTATCTCAAAGCAACAGCAGCAGTCCCTTTGATGTTAATCACTACATTGCTACAAACATGTTTTGAAAGCCTACACTGTGGATAAAATTTCTTGGGATCGTTATATGAAATATGCATATTATAAATATTAAAACTTAAAAATTGTTCTCAAGTGTCAATTTCATCCTTAAAAAGTGTGTAATATGCAAATAAATTCCATTTGGATACCTCATATTCCTTTCAAATTAGTGTTCTAATATTAACTGAAGAAAACTCAATACTTCTTGAGTTCTATCTTTCAACTGTACCTCTACAATATGTATTAAAGGAATTCATTTCTATCAGAAGTGGCACCTTAATTTTTCAAGGAACTTTAGAATCTGAAGCTAATTATGATGCACAAAACATCATATGTTCACATGGTTTCAGATTATACTTGAGTTTACTGAATATATCACATGAAAGATTTCTGTGAGAAATCCTTCATTTTAATCTGTAATTAAGGTCCTGTATTGATCCATAAACAAAATTATTACCAAGTAACTTGACTACATAATGGCGTAAAAGCACTTTCCAACATGATGAAACTCAAGGAAAATTAGTGTAGAGATTATGCTGTAATTGCCATGTTCTAAACAAACTGCTTTGTCACAATAATTGCTATAGCTTGACATGTCTGTTAGAAAAAAAATAGTGTGATCAGCATATGCATAGAAATGCTCAGTCCCCTCAATCCTAAATTTTAAGGGAGTTTTGAGCCATGAGGCAGCTCAAATAGTATTTTTCCCCTTTTTAGTGGTTACTGACACTTGTTTGACAAATCCCTTCTGAGACATTATTGCAAATGTAACGGCCTCAACATAAAGGTTTTGAATGCAGGTAACACTACAATTTCTTTTTAGTTACTGAAATGTCAAATTCTCATACAGACCATGCCTTGTCTGTACTCCCACATGTCAGTCCTGCAAGATTTTGAGACTGGTCTGCTTTGAAAGTATTCCAGTGCAATATCACTAGTGTCCATGTGTAGATACATGCAGTGACCATGCTTTGTTTTTAATTTCTTGGACTCTAGTTATTTAAAGAAATCATCTGAAATACATCAAGGGTATTCAATGTCATGCCACCCTCGTGGTCTCTTTTCCGAGTTAAATGCTGGGTCTTTAACAATCCGGTGTGTGTGGTAGAAGGCTTCAGTTCTCACAGTGGAAACAAAAGGACCAGGACTCTAAACTCAAGCTACCAAGGGTCCACTGCAGATCAGTGAAATATCCCCTCTGCTTCTCTTGCATAGGCCCGGCACTGCCTGTCTCCAAGATGAAAAATACAATTCTTTGTCTCCTAAATTAATTCCTTTCACCTAAATAAAATTTAAGTGGAAAAAAAAAACATTAGGAGCATCGGAAGGATTTCACATCACAATCACATTTACTGCAAAAGCTAAATCAGAAAGTATACTGTGAGGGGCTCCAATAGAAAGTATACTGTGAGGGGCTCCAATAGAAAGCCGACATATATATATATATATATATATATATATATATATATATGTATGTATATCAGGCAAATCAAACCATTTGAAAACAGGGTTTGTCATGGAAACAGCATCCTAATGGGATCATATCATCAGTAGCTTTATGGTTTCCCAGGTAAGTTCTATTTTGCCATCAATTCTGAAAGAGGCAAAGCTGAATCAAATCCAACAAAAACCTCCCTGGTTTTATGTATCATACATACCTTAAAATAAATTGCTTTCTGAAAACAAAGCCTGACGGTGACTTAAAATATTGTTTGAAATTTTCTGTCAGATTCTCATCTACACCATTTTAAGGACACCCATACTAACACTGGCGTTGACATTTATTCCTGGGATAAAAATTGATGAATTGTCTCGGACATTTTCTCAGAAGTTACATAATTACCTGAGACATGGTCTAATTTGGCTAAAGAACTAGTATTTTCCTTGTATATCTATGTATAAGAGCTTTCCAAATACCACCTTTCCTATTAATGCAACAAAAAAATGAAAATATTGCTCCTTGCTGCTTAAAGTGGTATGTTTTCTGTTAAATTCAATTTTAAATGTCTTAGAATGAATTAAGAGTTATAACACAGTTTCCTGACAAGCATGAAGGTCACTCTGCTGTATCGATGGCCTTCTCTTTAGCCCTTTGTCCTCCCCTCTTAAAAAGCAATGGGAAAATGTAATAAGGTAATTTTAATCTCCAGATGTTTGAAGTTTTGCAGCAATGATCCCTGCTCATACTATTTCCATATTAGGAAATATAAATTGTGTATTTCTATTTTAAAATTTAATGTATACAACATATATATATGTACATATATATGTATATATATAGTCACATGCATGTGTACAGATACATGTACACACAAATATATAAATTCTGAGGACGAGTAGGTCAACTGGAAAATCCCTCAGGGAAAGGCTCTTTGAACAATATGAAAATGGAATCTTCAGATGTAAACAAAACAAAACAAAACAAAACAAAAAAAGACTTTCACAGTCTACTGCTGTCTTAAGATGCTTAGGAACCGAATCAGTGGCCACTTACAGATTGCCTGTTGATGGTTTTTGGAATGTGCAAGGTAATGAGAAGATAAGACAATACCTCATAGAACATCACAAAGGCGATGACTGAACGATAAACCTCCAAGTAATAAAAGTCATGTAAATGTGTCCCTTGAAGAGAAAAATAAGCTTCAATGTAAAAAATGAGAGGCTATCCTTTAATAATGCTTTATATTATTATTCAAAACACCATTGAAGCCTTCTGTTCTCTGCTGTCAAGAAAGTGGCCTTTCCATGGCCACTCGGAAGGCAGGCAGGCAGACTGAGTATTCTTTGGACTGACTTTCTCTTTGATTCTTCAGGCTCTGACATTTGTGGGGCTGGTTGTGAGGCTTTATAAACTGAGAAGACGGCTCAGATCAGTCTATTATTTTGAGGCACAAAACAATGTCATTTCATACAAAACTTTCATTTTTTATTTGCGAAATTAAAAATATGGCATTTTATATATATAAATGTCTATTCCTCTATAAATATAAATGGTTTTGTGATAAATGGACAGAATAAATGCATACCAAATTCAAAAACCAATGTCAGTCTAGGAAATGACAGACATAGATAAATTTAGGTCCTACATGCCGGCATTTTTGATAAACTCTTAAAGTTTAAGCACTACAATCAGGAGGACTGTTCTTCTCCTCTTCATAAAGAACTAAGGTGAATGCTTTTAAATGGCTTTGAGAGGTTCACACTTGACATTACTGCTGTAAGTCCAAACAGGAGCACACGTGACAGGAGGCAGTAGGAATGGCCACTGGCAGCATGCATGCCCAGATCGCGATTGTTTCTCTCACCCATCAATTAGTCTACTCCTCTGCTTTCTGAAGTATACCAGGCTAGTCCCAGGGGTGTGGATGGTTCCTCCCTCAGAATGTGCCGCTGAGTAATCGTAATGTGTTGATAGTGTACAACTTCAAGGTTGTAAAGTTGAGATAAGTCTAATTACAGTTTGATTAAAACCGGAAAACAGCATTTCATTGTGAGGAAGTCCACTCCACTGAGATCTCCTTTAGTTTTCATAGTCTGTGTATGCTCTGCTATCCTGTTAAGGAAGGCAAAGATCAACTCCTTCACCGAGCTTTCCACGAGACCTCAAAGTCTCCATTTCTTAGAAGGGTAAAATCTAAAAGCAGGCACCGTGTGGGGGGAGGGGAGGGCAGGTTGCCAGCCATCAAAATGCAATTGGAACTGACATTTTATAATCTCCCTCTTCTGTTTCCTCAACCCACACGAAGCCTGCTGTCCCTCCATAATCGCACTAGCCACGTCTTTTCATAACGATGGCCAGACCCAGAGCAGGTTCTAGACACTAAGCAGTAAGACGAGCTCGCCCATAAAAAGCCAGGCTAGGCATTGGCTACTGCACCTACTCTCTGACCAATTTTGGTGGAAGGAGGGAACATCTGGGCAAGGGACACCAGACTTGAGGGAGGCTAGGTCAACGGGAAGTGGCCACCCGTGGGCCTCTATGAAGCTGGAAGGTGGTTCTCAAAAAAAAAAAAAAAAAAAAAAGATCAGCGTCGGGAAGTCACAGGGACAGGCTGCCACTCTCTGTCTCTGAAAGGGGAGGAACTGGAATGGGCGGGGCCCACCTCAGGCTGGGGGAACTGCACCTTAAAAGTTTCCACCTCAAGCAAGGAGAGGAGCAGGGAGAGAGAAGTTGAAGGAAGCGATGGGAAATGACCCTGGAGAGGCAGCCCCTGCCACAGCCCACAGTGTGGTAGCCAGGCCCAGGCTCTCCCTTCTGAGATGAGAGCCCAGAGCACAGCACTCAGCAAGCGTGCCTCTTTTACCTCCTCTGCAGTCTTCAGCAATAGGCAAGTGAGAAAACTTCAAATGCTTAAACCACCGTAAATAATTAAACATTTTAAAAAAGAAAATCGCGTGTTCGGTAGTCTTTAAATACAAATATACTTACAAAAATCTTACACAGGCTATTTACAATCATAAAAGCGTACAGTCCTGGTAGCAGAGCTAGGGACAGAGAGATCGGTCCACACACACACACACACACACACACACACACACACACACACACACACCCCTCTGACAGTTGGGCCCTCTCTTTCCTTTACCCTGGGGACGGAAGCTTTTGCAGGAGCTGTGCTGTTTGTTGAAAGGAACCTGCCAGAGCTGAGTGTCCAAGCAAGGACGGCTCGGCAGGCATTCCTTGGGGCCAGCTTTCAGGCGACGGCTGGGATCCGACCAAGAACCTGGGAAGGTAGAGTTCAGGTCTCAGACGGTAGTCTCCCCCTGTTTGCTGTTGGTAAGCCTCGTGTAGAACTTCCTCCAGGAGTTCAGTGTCTTGCCAGACCAGATCCAGAAGCCCGATGTGATGCCCACGATCAGCGTCATGAGATACTTGATCATGAAGACTGTGAAGTCCGGGCTCATGGGCGGGTGTGGTGGGGCGCCCCCAACCCCCTGGAGGTGAGGGCAGGGGATGGCATAACTCTTGCAGCTTTGGGCCACCCAGCTGCGCTCCCACTGGTCCCGGAAGGCCTGCTCGTAGAAGTAGCAGGCGATGACGATGGTGGCCGGCACCGTATAGAGCACGCTGAAGACGCCGATGCGCACCATGAGCTTCTCCAGCTTCTCGGTCTTGGTGCCGTCGTGCTTCATGATGGTGCGGATGCGGAAGAGCGACACGAAGCCGGCCAGCAGGAAAGAGGTGCCGATGAACAGGTACACGAAGAGCGGCGCCAGCACGAAGCCCCGCAGCGCGTCCACGTTGTTAAGCCCCACAAAACACACTCCGCTCAGTATATCGCCGTCCACCTGGCCCAGAGCCAGGATGGTTATAGTTTTGATGGCCGGCACAGCCCAGGCGGCTAGGTGAAAATACTGCGAGTTGGCCTCGATGGCTTCGTGGCCCCACTTCATGCCAGCGGCCAGGAACCAGGTGAGGGACAGGATCACCCACCAGATGGAGCTGGCCATGCTGAAGAAGTAGAGCATCATAAAGAGGATCGTGCAGCCCTCCTTCTTGGTGCCCTGCGCCACCGTGCGCGCCCCGTCCTCTGCAAACTTGTCGTTACACACCACCCGGTCCTCCAGCAGAAAGCCGGCGATGTAGGCCACGGCCACCGCTGTGTAACAGCCGGACAGGAAAATGATGGGCCGTTCGGGGTAGCTGAAGCGCCTCATGTCCACCAGGTACGTGAGCACCGTGAAGAGCGTGGAGGCGCAGCACAGCACGGACCAGATGCCAATCCAGGTGCGCGAGAAGCGCAGCTCCTCCGGCCCGAAGTACATGAGCCCGTACACCTTGGTGGGTTCGCAGGGGGCCCCGCAGTCCTTCTCCCCCAGAAAGTGGTAGTTGAGGTAGGAGGGCACCCTGAGGGCTCGGGGGCAGGAGAACTTGCCCCGCTCCACCGGGCCGGCGCCCCCCGGGTAGCCGCCGCGGTAGCCGCCGCCGCCTCCGTGCTGTGGATTGCTGGTCCAGAACTCCGGCAGCAAGGAGGGAGTCGGGGTCCCTTTGTCGGACGTGTTCTGGCCCACGCACAGCTCTCCCGCGCCGTGCACCGGGAACTTCTCGCACTTGAGCGTGTCTGGCCACTGGAAGCCGAACTTGTTCATGAGCGCCTCGCAGCCCTGGCGCGCGCGCTCGCACAGGGAGCGGCAGGGCGGCAGCGCCTGCTCCAGCACGGTGCACACCGGCGCGTACATGGAGCACAGGAAGAACTTGAGCTCGGCGGAGCACTGCACCTTCACCAGCGGGTAGAACTGGTGCACCTCCAGGCCCGCGTCCTCCTGGTTCGTGTGGCCCAGCAGGTTGGGCATGATGGTCTGGTTGTACGCGATGTCCGTGCACAGCGGGATGGAGATGGGCTGGCAGTAGCCGTGGTCCGGGATGGAGATGCCCCGTTCGCCGTTGTACTGCTGCCCGCTCTGCTGCTGCTGCGGCTGCGGCTGCGGCTGCTGCTGCTGGGGCGGCGGCGGGGCTTGCTGGCCCGGTCCGGGTACCTGGCCCGCCGCCTGCGCCCGGACCCCCAACAGCAGCGGGGCCTCCAGCAGCCAAAGCAGCAGCAGCAGCAGCCCGCTAGGCCAGCGCCGGGGGTCAGCCCGGGGGCGGCGGTGGCCGGTGGTGTGCCCGCGCCCTACGTCCTCCCGCTGGTCCCGGAGAGCCCCGGGACAAAGTTCCCAGCCCGGCGGGCCGGCGGCCGGGGACTCGCTAGGCGCCGCCTCCTCGGCCATACTTTTTGGGCTCCCTCCTCGGCGCCGGTCGGCCGGGGGAGGCAGCAGCGGCGCGGCGGGTGGCGGCTCCCACTGTGTCCGGGGAGATCTGGTCCCCGCCCGCGCCCTCCGTCGGGCTGAGCTCGCACTCGGTCCGCTCGCCCGGCTCCCGCTTTGAGTCCCGCAGCCGCCGCCGCCGCTGCAGAAACTTGCGGTTCATGAAGCGCGGGCGGCAGGGAGAACCGCGAGTGGTCCCGGCGCCCCGGGGTCGCGTCCCTCCTTCCCGGCTCGCCGCGCCGCGCTAGTCAGTGGCCGCAGCCGGGGAGAGGAGCGGGCAACTCTCGGCAGCCTCGCCGCCGCCTCGGATCCCCCCTGCGCCTCCGCCTCCGCCTCCTCCTCCTCGGCCGCCTCCTGACCATTTGTGTCAATCCCTCAACTCGCTGCCTTTCCTCTCCCTCGCGCGCCCTCCAACCGGTTTCTAGGCGCCCCGCAGTCTGTCTTTCACCGGGAGGGAGGAGCCTTGAAACCGACGCGGAGCTGCAGGCTCAGGGACCGTCGCCCAATCGCAGTACTCGCTTCGCAGCGCAAAGGGAGCCCATTCCCTCCCAGCCTGGGCTGGAACCGTCTGCAGGCGGGAGGAGGAGGAGGAGGAGGAGGAGGAAGAGGAGGAGGAGGAAGAGGAAGAGGAGGAGGAGGAGGAGGAAGAGGAGGAGGAAGAGGAAGAGGAGGGGGAGGAGGAGGAGGAGGAGGAGGAGGAGGAGGAGGAGGAGGAGGAGGAGGAGGAGGAGGAGGAGGAGGAGGAGGAGGAGGAGGAGGAGGAGGAGGAGGAGGAGGAGGAGGAGGAGGAGGAGGAGGAGGAGGAGGAGGAAGTGGCGGCGGTGGTGGCCGAGGCACCGCTCAGGCACAAAGAGTAGCTATGAAGCGGGACAGGCTCGGTTGCTTTTGCTTGTGTGGAAGAAAGGGAGAGGACAAGTAAGAGAATGGTCCCATATGCTGCTGGAGATAATGAATAGGAGTCGGCCGGCCGCGGGACTTAGCTCTGCTTTGCTTTCCAATTACTTTCGCGCTTTTAAAAATCCTACCCTTGACTCTGGTCACAAACAGCTACTTTGAGCTCTGGCTCTGAATGCATGCTCCTGACTTGAGAGTCGGGTTTCCTTTGAGTCTAAGTCTGTCGAGGTTTTGTTTAAAATATGACTCCAATAAACCTTGGAGCTCGCAGGCTGGGCTCGGCGGGCTTTTGGACGCGCCATTTCTCTGGATCACTGTCAAATGAAAACAACAGAACACAAAGTTTGGAGGGATGTGATACGTAAACTCAGATGCGCCTTCCATGAGTAGAGTGCTTCGTGTGTTTCATGCTTTGCCCCTCCTCTGTGATGGAATCGGAACCAGAAGCAAAGGAAAGCTAGCTGTTCATTGAATGCTAGAGGAAAGAGCTTGAGAACAGAAGTGTTGGGTGCTCAGTGTCAGCCCCAGGTGCTGAACACCCAGAAGGAGGAGCAATCCCTGACCCTTAGTGGGCCCCTTTTGAACTTGGGACACTGCCGGGTCTGGTGAGTAAGTTCCTCAGCTAAGGTGCTCGTTCGTATCTGAAGTTATTAGTTTGAAATACAAAACACACTCCCCAAATGGAGTCTGAAAGCAAAAGGACCAACTGCACCCCCTCAGCTCCAAAAAAGAGGCAATCTGTCTCAGCAGATACACTCGCTTGTTTTCCTTGAAAGATTATTTTGAAGAACTTGTGTGATTCAGATTCATCAATAAAATGGTATTGTGTTTTACTATTTCTGTCGATGCTTTCCCCTTTGATTAGCCTTATCTCGAGAGACTGTTCACGAGCTGTTTTCTATCGTTTATCTTTTCACTCGTTGATCAGATCCTTACCAGACATCCATTACGCAGTGAGTCCTGTCTCAGGAGGCAGGGAACACAGATCAAACCCTGGTGCTTCTTTAAGGAGGGCATAGGACAGTGGGCACAGGAATGCAAACCAACGATGACAGTGTCCACCAGGATCAAAAGGGCACAAGGGAAACAAATGGCCAACTAACAGAGGCGGCTGGGAGCGGGAGGGCTCCAAGGGGGAGACAGAGCCAAATGCAAAAGGCAGAAGAAGCTGGGAACTGCTTCTGATGGGCTGCAAAGGAGAGTGTGCTGGCCCTGGGCCAGAAGGGAAAGAAGGGCTCTTTAGCCCATACAAAATAGCAGGAGCCAAACTGTTCAAACAATAGGGAGCGATTGCAGGTGCCCCCCCCCCACAGCAGGAAGTGGTTCCAGGGTGTCTGAAAGAGGAAACAGGGCTCAAGCCATCATGGAGAAACATCAACATTCCTCTACACACATAGATCACCACACAAGATGAGACTTGTCTTCATACTGACAGGCACTGCAAAGTCTGTCACCACATCGGTGTCTGAGGGAACATGCTGTCACATCTCTACCTGTTACATCAGACTGGCGTCCATTTGTCTCATAGGCATATCGTCGTTATTTTTTTGACGTTCGTTGAGACTGTAATATTAACTTTGAAGTTTGTTTTTTGAGTCTTGGCATGGAAGCTCACATGAAACACACCATCCTCCTGCTTCAGCCTTCTGAGTGGCTTGGAGAACACTGGCATGTTTTAAAATATTTTTGAAGAGAAAAAAGAGTAATTTTTTTTGTAATTCCTAGCATTTGTAAGAGCAACAGGTACTAAATACGCAACCGGGTAGCAGGCACTGTGGGGACTGAAGTGTTGGCTATAGCCCGTGACACACTTGGCTAGTGAGAGAGAGGTGGGGGAGCACAGGTCCTCTAGGGTCTTTTGAACGTTCATTGTTCATGTTACCTACTGATACCCTAACCCACAGGGTCCCAGGGACTGCTTCTCTAACCCTGCTCTCCGAGGCTTACACGTCTCTGCTAACAGTACCCGACTCCTAGTGTCTCCACTAAGCCATTTCTCTCCTGTTAGACGGCTTTTATGAAGACACATCTATCTTGTGTTTCGTCCTCTCATGGTGGAGCTGACCGTGCAAGGTGAGAAACGCATGCATTTATTCAAATATTATTTAATAAATATTCAAATGTATGAGCTACGAAGAAGCATCATATACATTAAACATTCACCTCGCTCAGAGCATTAAGGCGAAGCGCCCACTAGCGCAGAGGGCTTGGTTTCGCAGAGTAAGAAACAGCTGTTTGCTAGTTGTTCAAATGAAATTCCTGAGCTTTCATCTCCTACCTAGCTATGAAATTAACCAGAAAGAAGGCTGAGAATGGCAGCCAGGGTTTTCATGCACAGGGAAAACAGACCATTCTTATCCCATAGTGGAACCCGAGCTACCATCAGACCAGAGATATCATCTAGGAACTAGGTTTCTTTCCAGTTTACACTTAAGAGCCCTAGTTCCAGATTCAAGGGATGCCTATGCTTCAGGTTGATAGATTGTTTGGCCTGGATCTCATCAGTTCCTAAATCTCGGTATTGTTTGCAATATCAGTTTTTTGACAATAGACTCTTTCTCTAAAGAGATCACATAGAAAAGACTCTATTCAAAAAGAAATCGTTTTCTGAGAGTTGCCTTTCAACGCTAAGTCCATTAAAGTACATGTCCTATTTATCTGTTATGCTAATACACCTCACATATTAACCACACAATATAACACAGAAGAAGCTACGGTGCACTATGGCTGCCGGCATCAGCTCATATAGAAGTTGTCCATCGGGATGGTGATGCAGGCAGTGAGGAAAAGAAAAGCATGAGAGGAGAACTTTGAGTACTGTACTTAAAACATCATTTTCTGGGCACATGGGAAGCTTTGAGATTAAAAATTACTAGATTAGTATGAACTGTTAAGAACTTGGTAATAAAGCATTTCAGTTACTCCAACATAACCCAATACACATAATCTGATTCCTCCTTAATATTGCTTTGCAAGCATTAAAATCAGCTACTTTTTTTTAATTTCGAAGATCTCATTTTAGCAGACCTTTCTTGAATAGTGCGGAGATTCTCAAGGTGATTATGCCAAGTGAATGTGGATGGAAAGTTCTAGGGGCAATGATCTAGTCCTAGTTGCACAGTTAGGCAGATGTTTCAAACACAACCTGAGGGACTCACAGTTAAGGGATTTGTTTTGTTGTTACTTATGGATGATAGATTTGGATGGCCTCCATTGAACAACAGAAATTATGTCATAGATTAAGACTGTATACTTTTGAGACTGTACTTTGTGTACTTTCTTGTCACTGCTTCAACTGAATTGTCTTGCTTGAACTGTGTTTTGTTCTGGATATTAATTATTAACCCCCCTTTACTTTAAGTACCAGAGTAGGCCATGAGTCTGACCAAGGTCATAGTTTCCCACTGTGTGCAATCTGTGAACACGCCCACTCTTAACAGAAGAAAACACCATTTCTAGGGGACTCTTGAGTCTTTAACACAGTTTCCCATACCAGGATGCAAGTGTAGGTGAAACTCTGACAGTCACTGCTGAGTTAGGCCAGCATTTTCCAAATTGTCTTCTGTATAATATGTGATCTTCCCTAAGGGTGTTTTGTGAAATAAATTTGTTCAAAGAAATTTGAAGAAAAAAAACCTCTATGTTCTTATTGAAGATTTATGATAGTCTAAAGTCTATGAGACATGCTAAAGTAAATAAGGAAATACACAAAGCTCACTTGAAACTTTGTCCTATTCAGCATTACACACACACACACACACACGCACACATGCACGCACACACATGCATACACACACAGGGTGGGGGGAAGAGAGCTAGAGATCATATCAATACTCTGCTTGACATTAATGCTCTCTATAATACTTTGGGAAAAGCTGGAGTGGGCCTAATGCATTGTAAAGTTGCAAGAGCTTGGACTCTTCTGGATCATGTAGGTGTCTCAGGTAAAAAGAGAGAACCTGCTCCATTGTGCTTTGGAGCACTACGCAAGAACTTTGTTCATTGAGCTGTTTCCTCCACACACGCCCTAACACCTGTATGCTTTGGCAGCGATTCTAAAAACAAATGCCTCATCTATTTTCATCTGTACACAAATACGTTTTTAGCATTGATGCGATGCTTTTTGCATTCATTTACACTCAGAACTTCAGTTTATAACTCTCTTTGAAAATTCCCTTCTTTAAACATAAGCACACTCACGGTTTTCCCTAACGCAACTTAGTGAAAGAGATTTTTAGGTACAGTATGCTCTTTCTCATATGTGAAAGTTAAAATTTACTACCTAAACAAACCAACTGCACCTAACTGTAGACTAGGGATTATTGAGGTTAGGAAATGAGGGGAAGGCAGGAAAAGCTGTCTTGATTTGATCAGTCAGTACACACAACATGCATTGAAATATTGCACTGATGCCCATTAATAAAACCAAGATAAAACAAAGGAGATTGCCATAACCTTTATCTCACAGAATACTCAAAGTTGATTCATAGTAAGATCTTAAACCAACTTATCTTCTAAGCAACTGCAATTCATTAGTATTTGCATTTTAAATATGGTAAGAGGGAGTCATTTTAGATGAGTATGTGCATTAGGTCTAAGTGTGAATCGTTCCACACAAGTTTCATAGGCCATTTTAAGGTAGAAATATGATATATGAAGAGAAAAAAATCACACTAA